AATTATCATCTATACCATTTTTAATATTTTCCTTTATCAAAGACAATTGCTCATACAACTTTTTTCACCAAAAACATCAGGATTATAACAGAAACTTCTGTGACATTTTTTATTCAATAGGTCAAAAGAAGTAGAATGAGAACGAAAACTCAGAACCTTTTGTTATAATCTTGATGTTTTTGGTGAAAAAGTTGTATGAGCAATTGTCTTTGATAAAGGAAAATATTAAAAATGGTATAGATGATAATTCCATGTCAAAATTTGAGTTTATCACTGTTTCTGCTTGATTTGAACTTTCAGGCGTTTATTTCAAAGAAACTAAACTTAGAATAAATTTTGTTCTATCTGTCATTCGATGGTCGAATGTATTGCCTATATAAAAGAAAAAAACAGATAAAATGTGCGCATGGAAAGGAGAAAAGAGAGAAGAAAAAAAGTGACAGAACAGAAAAACAGCCTAAATTCACTATAATAAATCGTAGAGACTGTGGCGACACATGAAAAACTCAAGATGTAATTATAAGAAGCCCGCTGTCGGATTCGCCTTGAAATTCTGCATATACCATCTTAGTTTCATAAAGTTTGGTCCGGCGCGGAGCTTGCACCTAATTTTCTAATGGGGTAGTATGAGTCCACGTAGTATTTTCCTTTCACCAAGTGAAGGAGGGAAATTAAATATTTCAACGAAGAATTTAGTCGGTTTAGATGTATGGGTAAGAAAGTTTCGGTTATGACCAGTTTCGGTTAATCGTGACCGTTTTTGTATAATGTACTGGTTTTGATGCCGTATAGAAGGAAGCGATCTTTTTGAAATACTACAAAGATAATATATATAACAGGACTCTCTACTGTCTTTAAGCTCTTTTTCCATTGATTAACTTGTTTTTCTTTGAATTTTGTTCAATTTTTATAAGAAGTATGATAAACTCGTTCTTTCACACAAGAATAAAAAGTAGATCTTCAAAATTAATCTTACTAACACTTGGCACAAAATTTCATGAAAAACTACATGTATTACTTAATTTTTTGTGGAAGGTTACCTCTGCTTCAGGCTGCAGCTGACTGTCATCTACTCTCTGTGTCAACAAGATATTCTTGATGACTCCAACAGGCAATAAAGAAAAGCTTGATATTAGTGTTGAATTTTATTGAATGAAACATTCTTTTTTACCTGTAGGAGCTAGCTACTGGAAGGACAGAAAATGAGGATCTACAAAGTGAAAGGAGTCTAAGCATGGCTTATTTGCTATAGCTGAAACAATTTAAATGGCTTACTTTTTCATTGTACTCTAATTAATAAAAACCACAAGGCCAGAAAGTCGTACCGACGAAAGTAAAATGGTTACTGCTTAAAAAACGAAAAGTACAGTAGGCTTTATGCTTTCTTTGTGTTCACACATGGAAAATATGAAGAGTCAAAACAAAAAGAAAGAATAAATAAAGGCTTAGCGTATAGCACATCGTTTTTATTTCGCATTATATTGTATTACAACAAGATAAGATGCACACTACGTCTCACATACAGGATCTGTATGCGATATCAAAAAGAAAATGAAGTGCTTCTAATGTAACATCCATATACACAAATCAGTTATTCTATAATACTGAGTTCTCGTTTTCATTGCTATACACATCTTAGTGTTATCAAGTATTATCCATATATGTATGAAATCTTCCGTTGGGATCACAACTGCGAATTTGCATTCTCGACTTCTACGAGATCACAGTAAGAATAAAGGTTAGTGATAATACTAGTCACTTCTAATACGATTAGTCATCTTACAGAATAGTTTCTCTTAACTGAAGGATAAGGTTAAGCAAATTCGTAATCGGAGCGGTATTTATTTTTCCGATTTTATTGCATAGGTAGATGCGGCGCGTCGAGCTGAATCTAACTATGTAAAAGTTTTTCAAAAAAGTTAGTTTTTTTTTAACCGTCGAAACAGGCCAAAAACTGAAAAATGAGAAGACCTTGAAAAAGGAGCGTGTTACAGGAAAATGCCTGCAGTTTTTTCACGTTCTGAATCTACGTCGAATTCGAGAAATCGAGACGAACCCGGAAGGAAAACCGGGCTGGCTGGGCGTTCGAAAATTAATAAGGCTTTTTTGAAGTAATAGAGTGCCGATATTTTTCGATGGAAATGTTCATTAAATAGCCCTGGAAAATGTTACGTATACGCGTCTTTCAATTCTTTTTCGTTCCTGTGCTAGAGCGTTTTTTCGAAACATACCGAACATCGGCCAGGTGATATCGCTTGCTTTGGCCAAAACTCGACTCAGATTTTTTGAGACAACATTCCTAGGGTTGGAAAGCGATGAGGAATCCAACAGAAGTGGTTTCGAGAAGTTTTGGAGTAACTCTTTGGATCCCACTGCCTTACGTGCCGTTTTTCTGCGTCTGTTAGCTGGTCATTGTCAAAAAGCTGAAGTCTTCTTACGTTTTTTTGCTGTCCTAGCTACTGTTCTCAATAACGAAGAGTAAAAAGTACATATTCCTGTAACACGCTCCTTTTTTTAAGGTCTTTTCGTTTTTCAGTTTTTTTGCCTGTTTCGACGGCAAAAAAAAAGTTTTTGAAAAAATGTACATGGTTAGATTTAGCTCAACGCGCCGCATCTACCTATGCAATAAAATCGGAAAAATAAATCCCGCTCCGATTATGAATTTGCTTAACCTTAAACGACTATAAAAAAGACGCTTCTCAAAACTCTATCAGAGTTAGAATGAAACGATTATTTTTTTAGAACGCTGTGTTTTTTTAATTTTCTCATCGAATTTATTGTTGTCTCATCACAAGAATATGTTCAGCAACGAATATTGCAAAATGATAAAAAATCAGATTTATGCTCATGACGACCATGTCGTTGATCAAGATCACCTAGACATAAAGTTAACAAAACTAACGTCCTATGAAATTGGACCTTGCATTGCCATAATATTATTATTGAGAGTAAACAATATAGACTACGTGGCATTGTACCATTGTAGTTTTACAGAAGGTGAGAATTTTATACAAGTTATTCAGCATAAATTCGACGAATTCTTTCCCAATCAACGCGTATTAATTATTCTATAAAAGACATTAATATACACGGCATAATTTTCATAGGTAGTGTGCATAACACCGAAATTTATCACACATTCATTAAAAGTTTTCAATCGTTCCATAATGAACGTGAAAAATGCATACATCATCCACATCATCATCAAACAACTGGCAACATTACCTAAAGAAAAAACAATAATATATGGACCAATCAATATAAAAGAAACTGCAGAATATGATAGAGGTTTTAGATGCTGGTCATCCGTAGCTGTTTTGGCCAATCCTGAAAAGAAGTCAATAGACTTTATATGTGACCTAGAAGGAAAAAAAAGTACACAACGGTCAATTGTCAGGCGAAGAATTCGTACTACTTAGCGGAAGAATAGAATATGATAACAAATATCTCCTAAACGTTCTAAAAAACATTGAATTACTGAAAAACTGTGAACTAGAATCATTAATATCAAACGTATTTCAAACTGAATCAATTTTTATGTAATATTTTGTTAGTTTCAAATCTTAATAAATAAAAAGTTGGTTATGACATGAACAAAACAAGTCTGGTAGTTTGTTCTACGTAAATGGTCTCATACATCATGGTAGAAGAAAACTTAAACTTTGAGACTAACGTGGAACAACAGAAATCACTGTAACTTTTTAATCGAGGATTTCCGAGAGGTGGATGACATCTTATTTTAAGAAAATACTTTAGACTATTTGTTACAACATTTAATTTTTCATGTGAAGATCTTAAAAAGTGAGAAGTCTTCGCAGAGTACAAAAGCTTGAAAAATTTATGACTCGTAAGAGAAACATTTGCAGGAGCTGAAGTGACTTTTATTATAAAGAGTTTCTAACTTTCTAAGCAACGAAACATCTTCTAGTGATTATCACACATAGTTTTATAGCAGTATAAATGGTGAATTTTCACCTACTCATTAATGCACTGAATGTTTGATGCTTTAATCATTTGATTAACGCCCGAATTTCAAATAATAACGTTCAATATGGATATAACAATTATCAATGCCAAAGTGTTCAGTTAGTAATCGTTTAAAAATCTCTGCGACGTTATCAGTAATCACAAAATTATTATTACATGTATAACATTGAATAAATGATAATAAACATCTTTTATTTGATAATAAAACTTTCAGAATACTCTGAATAATTCTAATACGAATTTTATTGGCAAACTGTAATGCTAATATTTTAATATTAAAAAAATACCGAAGAAATTCAACGAAATAATTCTTCTTCTCATCATCAATATCAGTGACTTCTAACCTATATAAAATGCAATTCAATAATTCGTTTGAAAAAATATTGTCGTTGTGGTCAAATGCTAGTTGCTTTTCCATAATTCGATATATACTAACATTGTCAATTTTTAAAATACAAACATTTGGTAACATGAGAGAAAAATGTTGTTTAAATAATTGTTCATATGATGTTAAATATTTACAAATAATTGTATTGACATTTTTAAGTACTACTGATGGCGATTTATTACTTAATCGACAATTGCTCATATAAAATTTTAAACATTTGACATCTTTAAACATACTTAATACTTTATCGTTTAATGGCCAATATAAATCGAATGCATGTGGTGTTCAAGCGGAAACAATTGAATTAAACTCAAATGTACAATCGATATCATTTGTTTGATAGTTTGCAATACCATTTGATATACAATCAATATCACGAAAAATACACAGTAGTGAATAAAGGTAAAAATCATTTTCATAAATGTCTATATAACATATAATTTTTTCTTTTCGTTTTAATAACCAATAATCATACTTAAGCGAAGATATTATTAAATTATATTGGTCTCGTTTATAAGACAACCTAAAATAAAATAAAATAAAATTTAATAATGTTGATAACAAATTAACCTCTATACATCGACCATCAATAACAGATGGTTCGGATAAATAACCGATGCTTAGTGATAAATGTTCTAATGAAACAATATGCTGAATTAACACTTCAATTAAATCATAACCATTTGAAAATATAATTTGATTAAACTGTAATTTTAAGTTAGATAACCGACTAATTTTCAGACGAAGAGCTTTATAATCATAATTAATAATTGAATGAGGATCGAAATCAAACCATTTAAATTTTATATTTAATATAGGGTATAAAATCAAATAAAACTAATAATTGACCATAAAACTCAAGTTCAATTGTTAAAACCTGAACGAAACAAATTAAGAGACGTCGTTTATTTTTCAAAGAGAAAACATCATTTATTACTGAACATTCTTTCAATAGAAAATTTTTATTATTGAAAATGCAAGTAGTGATATTATTAGATAATGAAATATTTTTATCTATTGTAATAGTTAGACAATACAAACTTTCTACAAGTTTTAGATAGGATTCTACATCCTGTTCTTGTCTACAATATAAATTCAAATGTTTTAAATTTCTAAATGATAGACAATGTTTTGATAATAGATATAGTTGTTCTGTTGAACAATGTTCATAGCCTAACTTCAGTGTAATAATATTCGATGCAATTGACGGCAATATATTATAACAGTAATAGATAAAAGCTTTATATGATGTATATCTAAGATCAATATCACTTGTATAATACTTTGAAATTAATCGATTAAATCGTGTATTTTGATGAAAAAATAAATAGAAAATTTCAGTTTGTTTAATATAATCAAAAACTTCTAGGAGAATTTCGTTTGATAATATTTCAAACGTAGTAATAGACATCCTAAAAGTTAAATGTACAATATGTAAGTTTCTATCCGAGCACTGATACGTTGAATGATTTCTTTATTTGTATGTGGATATTGGACTATTTAGGACGTTGATCAATAAAAGAAGAGCCAATCATCATCTCCAGATGAAATATCTAGCAGCGTAATCAAGATGAGCTTAATATCCATTCGGATGACAACTATCAATCATACTTAATCTCGCAGCAAAGTTTTCTTCATTCAAAAGTTCAACGACCTAGCGAGAATCTGATTAGCACAAACATCCATGATAATTTAGATGGATAAAACCTCATATCTTTAGCATTATGAATAGCATGCATTCGAACCTAATATAATTGCAAAAGTAGGAAGACTTTGATGCTAAAAACACTTTATTTATATACCAGAAACAACTAGGGTCACAAGTACACACACATTTTTGTACATACTCACATCATAACAAATTTCTTTACGAAGGACAATAAGTGAAAAATCAACATTTCTTACATCTTTCTTATATCTAAAAATATTTGTAGACGTGAAACACATTCTGACGCCCCTAAACGGACAAAAGATCTGAATGGAGCGAACCAATTTCGAGAGACCTTCTTTTATCTTATTTAGTTTTTTCTCCTATATAGATTGGTTTTTGTTAAGCTGATCGAACGCCTAACTATAAAAGCTTCGATGCTTTCGCGCAAAATTTTAGCGCTCTTTTCCACTACTAAAAAATAATCGGGATCTCTGGTTACACTTTATAGA